ACCAATTACCTTCAGAAGTCACCTAATTAGTAGAGTCCACCTGTGTGTAATTTAATCTCAGCATAAATACAGCTGTAGTGTGAAGCCCTCAGAGGTTTGTTAGAGAACATTAGTGAACAAACAGCATCTTGAAGGCCAAAGAACACATCATACAGGTCAGGGATAAAGTTGTGGAAAAGTTTAAAGCAGGGTTAGGTTAAAAAAAAAAAAAAAAAAAAAATCCCAAGCTTTGAACATCTCACAGAGCAGTGTTCAATCCAAAAATGGAAAGAGTATGGCACAACTGCAAACCTACCAAGACATGGCCGTCCACCTAAACTTACAGGTCGGGAAAGGAGAGCATTAATCAGAGAAGCAGCCAAGAGGCCCACGGTATGGGTCCTTTCACACTGGCCAGATCCGTTTAGCGGATCCGCTTGCTCAGCAGGGGATCTCTTCGCTCATCCCCACTGAGCAAGCAGATGACAGCTCTGTGTCTGCTCCGCTGCTGCAGAGCAGACACAGAGCTGCTTGCTCAATGGGTGGTCGGATGAAACCACCTGTCCGTTTACATCCGACCTGATCCGACGGACAGAAGAGGAATTGGATCCCCATCCATCCCTTTTTGGCAGATCAGATGTTGGCAGGTGCACCCGCTGCTCCATAGAGGGAGAATGGAGGTTCCGATCGAGTCCGCCTGAAAAAATGGTCAGGCAAACTCGATCGGAACATCCATGTGAAAAAGCTCTAACCCTGGAGGAGCTGCAGAAGATCCACAGCTCAGGTGGGAGAATCTGTCCACAGGGCAACTATTAGTCGTGCACTCAAAAAATCTGACCTTTATGGAAGAGTGGCAAGAAGAAAGCCATTGATGAAAGAGCCATCAGAAGTCCCATTTGCAGTTTGTGAGAAGCCATGTGGGGGACACAGCAAACGTGGAAGAAGGTGCTCTGGTCAAATGAGACCAAAATTGAACTTTTTGACCTAAAAGCAAAATGCTATGGGTGGTGGAAAACTAACACTGCACATCACCTGGAACACACCATCCCCACCGTAAAACATGGTGGTGGCAGCATCATGTTGTGGGGATGCTTTTCTTCAGCAAGGACAGGGAAGCTGCTCAGAGTTGATGAGAAGAGGGATGGAGCCAAATACAGGGCAATCTTAGAAGAAAACCTGTTAGTCTGCAAAAGACTTGCCCTGCTGGAAAGCGAACCTCCGCCCAGTCTCAAGGACCCTAAACATACAGCCAGAGCTACAATGGAATGGTTTAGATCAAAGCATATTCATGAATTAGAATGGCCCAGTGAAAGTCCAGACCTAAATCCAATGGAGAATCTGTGGATGTGCAAAGCTGGTAGAGACATGGCCAAAAAGACTTGCAGCTGTAATTGCAGCGAAAGGTGGTTCCACAAAGTATTGGCCCCGGGGGCTGAATACAAATGCACGCTCCACTTTTTTCACATATTTAGTTGTACAAAATTTTGAAAACCATTTATCATTTTCCTTCCACTTCACAATTATGTGCCACTTGGTGTTGGTTTATCACATAAAATCCCAATAAAATACATTTCAAGGAGTATGAATAGTTTTTCAAGTCACTGTCGATGTGTAATGTGCAAGCACTCTGTTATTATGTTATCACACAGCTTTACACTTTGTAGGAAAAAATATATTACCAAGTGTTTTATTGGTGAATTGGAATTTTGGAGTATGGTAAATTGCCATGTGAGGACCCCTGTTGCTAGAATTGGGGCCCCTACTATTCCACTTTGCCTCCAAATTAAGAATTCACTCATAGGATGGAGATGGTGCAGTTCTTTCCAGCACAGGAGAAACTTCCCATTAGAAGTCATTTCAAAGAGTAAAATTAAAAAGGGTGTTTAGTCATTTTTAGATCTCAGTGCAATACACCACTCAAGCTTCTGTCAAAGCCTAATATGGTACAATGATATTCCTTTAACCATTTCAATACCGGGCAATTTTACACCTTCTTGCCCAGGCCATTTTTCAGGTTTCAGCGCTCTCACACTTTGAATGACAATTGCGCGGTCATACAACATTGTACCCAAACTAAAATTTTATCATTCTTTTTTTTTATTACATTTTTTTTTTTTTTTTTAGGATTTTTTTTTTCATATTTTACTATGACCAAAGTAGTACACTGTTACCATAGTAACATTGTACTACTTTGGGGAAGTGATCAGCATTTTTTTTTTTTTTTACACAATTTGCTTATACCAAAGAATTCCTTTGCTATAAGCAAGCATTTACCTGAATAAAATCGATTCATTCAGTTTTTTTTTTTTTTTTTTGTGCTTAGCTGTGATTTGGCCACAGCTAATCACATGACGTGATTGTGACCTGCTGTGACCATTCACAGCTAGGCACTAGTATACAATGGATGGCATGAATGAAGCCATCCATTGTATACAACTGTCATGTGACCTGCTGTGATTGGTCACAGCAGGTCACATGGTACCGGCAAGGGGGGCCGTTACTCAGATCTGTCATTGGCCGTGTCCGAGGTACACGGCCGGTGACAGACCGTGCGAACTGCGCATGTACAAATGGCGCGCACCCGGAAAGCTGATGCATTTTTGCAGCTGCCAAACGGCTATAGGCTGGGCGGCTAATGGCTAAACACTTGCACCTAGTTTGGATTAGGACAGCAACATTGTCAACCCCTAAATTACCCAGAATCACAGCCTATGTGTATGTCCATTCTCTCCACCCTATCACATTTATTGTCTACAGAGCTCATGGAAAAGTAGATGGAAAACTCCAGTTGCTTTATGGTTCAGATCTACTCTACTAGGAGCTTACATTTGTGCATCGGTACCTATGTAAAGCTGAAACAAATAGATTTCTCCATCCATACACCTGCCCACTTACCCTGGGTACTGTATTCTAAAAGATTGGCTGCAATCACTCTTCGGATCAGCTCCTTCAACAAAAGCTGATTAAATGACCTACTTTTGTTGAGTCAGCAGGGCCACTCCGTTAGACTTTTGCTTGATTCCGAAGAATTGACCAAAATTCCACCGATGTGTGGCCAGCTTTTAGGCTGGTACACACTGGCCAAATATTGGTCAGTTCAACAGAAATTGACCGCCATTCAGCCAGTGTGTACAGCAGCCAAACCGGATTCTGTCGAAAAGGCATGCTGGAAAACCAGCATCTGATCAGCGCTCTGTCAGAACACAATAGCTCGGCAGAGGAGATTGCCACACTAACATTGCTTTGCTAGTACGGTGAAGCACACTGGGTTGAATGGAAAAAAAAAACACTTCTCTTGTGTACCTAGCATTAATCTGCCCCTACAGTTGGGCCTACCTTAGAACAAGCTATCAGCAGAGCACTCGGAAAGTTAATAAGCTCAGCTTTGCCTACCTTGCAGGTTTATATCCATTTAGAGGGCAGTGGCAGGTGTTATAGGTTTACCCAGAGCACTAGATAAACCATGTAAAAAAGTGTTTGTGTTTTTTTTTTTCTTGTTTCAACTATGTGGGACGTTCAAGTCAATTCAGGACTTTTTGAGTTTATATAATAATAGAACAAATTTCAAGGCGTGGGAACTGCATTTATTTTTCAACATACTGCTCTGCTACATTTATACACTTATCCCAGCATTTAACTAATGCCTGGAAAGCTTCGGCATAGAAAGATTTGTCAGTACGCCTGAACCATCCTTGGACAGCCTGCTGCACTTCGTCATCATTGTGTTCATCATTGCCACAGAAAGAATCATCTCTTGTGCAATTTCATGACAGGTTATGCATTGATTTTTCAGGATCAGGCGTTCCATGCGCTGAATGTTTACAGGAATGACTGCTGTGGGCTGGGAACCACCACATCTGGGATTGTCACTGATGGATGTACAGCCATCTTTGAAATGTATACACCATTCAAATGTCTTACTGTGGCTGAGCGCAGATTTTACGACTTCGTTCACAAGAAACTTCATCACCACACGCTGTTCCATGCATGCACTAACACTGTTGTCTGCCATCTTTATTAACAGTCTCTGGCCTGACCCACGACCTGTGCATCGCCTATAGGACACACTTGCCACTTACTACTGCTGGTAGTACCACCACAAAAGCATTCCTTTTTATACCTGTAAAATTAAAAGTCCCGCTTTGACTTAGAACGTCCCTTGTATGTCTAAAATTATAATGAGAATCCTTTATTGGGTGATTTTGCATGTTAAGAGTGTACCAGTTGTTTAGTAACCAACTCCCGTCTAAAATTTTCTTGAACCAATTTTTCCAAAAAATGCTTTAACCCTTTGACTAGAAACTCTGTGTCATGGGTCCGCATGGGCTAGAGGCAGAGAAGACTTCTGCTGCCTCCAGAAAAAGGAGATGTCACTGCCTACATGCCCTCATACTCTGCACTCCCTCTATCCATGAAGGGATCCCATCCTCTAACAAGAGACCAAACTGATGCACCTGAAGGATTGGCAAATGTTTCTGGTTTATATCAAAAACTTGGCAGGTTAATTTTCTCATTTCTAGTGGCGTTTTCACTTTTTTCATAAATAAACGTGAAACTTCACTCTCTCAATCAACATTGACTATTTTTTTTATTCCTTATGCTGCTTGCATTAGTAAATACATAGGGAGGTATATTATATTCTACTTGTTTTACATTTTTGTATCCATTTTTCAGTTACTTCTTGGTTTCCATGCTTGGGCAAATTATGTCATACATCCCAGGAGTCTTCAGGAGGGGTTTTCTTAGCTAAGCACATGCTCCAGCCTGTGTCCTTGACTTAAGGGCTGATGGATTCCAGGAAGTAAATGCTACATAAATCATCTGCCCTTACTTAGGATGGCTACAGAGTGTTTTTTTAAAAATGATTTCTCAGCAAAATAAAGCATGGAGACATGGATGGAAGGGAAGTTTGCTTTTGTTTTGTGGTGTTCAGATGTAATAGAAAATTCATCCTCTGAATAAACTGATACTTAAATAGGATCTATACTGTATCTGGAGATGTCAATCCCTTTTCTTACTACTTAACCCCTTGGCACCAAGCATACGCAAAGTAGCGGCCCCACTGGACTGGGCTTTTCACTGTGGGGCCACTGCTTTGCATACCTGTCTTTGTGCTGGGAGTGCACTGCACAGCGCGCTCCCAGCACAAAGACCAGGGTGTCAGTGAGAGATCCAGGTCCCATTTTAATGATCGGTACCCAGAACGCCCGATTCCGCGATTCCACATGATTGTTGTAAAAGCCTCCTATTGGATAACACAGTGATCAGTCACTGTGAAGCACTCCCTCCCTCGTTTTCTCTCTCTGAATGGAGGAGAGAGATACGTTGTCCTTTCAGAGATGAAAAAGTGTTTAAAAAAAATAAATAAAAATACCTATATCAAGGTTTGATCTAGGTCAGTGCCAGGGTTAAGAGTTGTTTTTTATGTTTTTTTTTTTTTTTTGTCAGGATTTTTTTTTTAAATTTAGTATCAGTGTCAGTTAGTGGTAGGATGAAAAAAAAAAAAGCAAAATGCGTACTATTGTTTCTGGGCCATACTACGGGTACAAACAACAACTAACATACACATTTGGTATCGCTGTGGTCGCCAGGAGCAAGAGAAATGATTTTTGGTGGTTGGTTATAGTAGTAGCAAGCAATATACAACTAAATTTAAATATTATTTATTTATTTATTTTTTTTTACTATTGTGGGTCAGTTTTCCTTTGATAATAAACAAAAAAAATCCAGGAGTTATCCATTACCATTTACCACCAAATGAAAGCCCAATTTGTCCTGAACAAACGCGGTATAATCCACCTGGATGCACAAAGTAGTTGTGATGATATGTACGATTTTACTAACACGTGTCAAAGTTGCAAAATTGTGCTTAGGCATTAAGATTTGTTTTACCCTTAGACGTGAAGGGGTTAACTGTGTCCAGCTTTGAGGTAAAACTATCCCTTTTTATCTTCAATCCAAGTTATATTGGGGAGGTATGTTAATGGTGAAAGGAGAAGGCAGTTTGTGGTGACAGTTCAGGAATAGGTAGGTACTTACCTCTTAAGGGATACATAATGACAATTCTCCAAGTACAGACAACCCAAGCTAACAAGCAATTGTGATGTGATCTTATACCTGTATAATTCTTCTGGAAACTTGTAAATGATTTTTCTCTTTAGAAACCGAGATAACCCAATCATGTCATGTGGACAATCAGATGCCCTTGGAGGAAATGGAATGGGAAGATGGTACGTATGTAACATTTATATCTCTGAAATCTGACAGGAATGTTTTTTTGCATGTTTTTCTTAGTAATGGGTCTGCAAACACATACATACCAGTGGCCCATAAATGCTGCATGCGGTGTTTAAAAACTAATATGCATAACAGCATTCATAGTACTGTTGTAAAGCCATTTGGTTTAGAAAACACACATATGGAATGGGCCAAAGGGAAACGTATGGTGAAATAAATAGGTAGGCTATAATTGCTGGAAGTACTTGTTCCTTTGCTGTCAGGAATAGTATTTTGGAGGAACTGACAAGGAACAAGGATGAAACAAGTGATGTCAGCATCCCTGAACCAGATACTTGTTCTGGGCCAGTGACTTAAAGCATTGTAACTTCTGTATCAGGGACAATGCCAGGAAGTTAGCATATTCAAAATTAAAGTGGAAACGTAATCCTTTGTGTTTCTTTCTTCTTTCCTTTAAAATTGAACTCTAACCAAAATGCATATATTGAAACTGAGGCCAAAATATTTCTATTGGTTCAGCTAGTCTTGTGATTCACAAGATTTAGAATGATTCTAACATTTCCTTTAGATCTAGGAACACGTATGCATTGCAAGGGTCTACTTGATTTGACTGGATAGGTTTTCATATTGCATGGCTTGTGGTAAATCTAAAGAGATTGAACAATCAGATTGTAACCTGCATGGGGAGCCCAAGTCTACCACTCTTCTATGTATAGAAGTAAAAAACACTTAGAGCTAGTGCTCACCTTGTTGCATTATTTTCTTTTGGAACAGATGAAGAATATTACTGCTACACCTGTCGCTGTGGAGGAAAATATATACTAATGGAAGATGACTTGGAACAATCTCTGCTGGTGAACTGCGATTCGTGTTCTTTGATTATAGAGGTCTACAGGAACAGGAGGGACCTGGTGCAATAAAAACAGTCAGCAAACAAAATCTTGTGCACACTTGGACTGCATTTGCTAAGCTAATTTACATCATTTGTTTTGTACATCCAATGACGGCCTCAACTTTATTTATAAAATAAATGTAAATTTGTTTTTCTTGTATGTGGTGCAATCATTAGAACAAGCCTGGACCCTAGAATTGGGGATACAATAGGTTAATAGAAGCCATTGGCTCATTTACACAAGCTAGAACAATAAGAAGAGTCCATAGCTGGCAGGTTCTGTTTCTGTCTAAGAAATACATGGGAAGGAAATTGGTATAAAGTGGTTGTAAAGGCTGAAGATTTTTTACCTTCATACATTCTATGCATGAAGGCAAACACACACATTCTGTGTGCAGCTCCTCCCAATATCAGCTGAGCCCCCTCTCAATCCAGCAATGTGCATGGGAGCCTCAGCTGTCCCTGGTCTCTCTCATTGGCTGAGACACAGTAGCTGGAGCCATTAGCTCCCATTGCTGTTAATCACAGCCAGTGAACCAATGAGGAGACAGCAGGGGGTGGGGCCAAGCCCCATCCTGTGTGGCTTATGGACACAGAGCAGGGCTCAGGAGTGAGCATGCACTAGTGCCCCCATAGCCAGCCATTTGCTGTACTCGGAGAAGAAGAGGAGCCACGAGTGCCAGCAGGGGACCCAAGAAGAAGAGGATCTGGGCTGCTGTGTGCAAAACCATTGCACAGAGCATATAAGTATAACATATTTGTTATTTAACATAACCTTAAAATTGCTGTGTTTTAATGCATGGAAAACTGTTCAATGAAATTACTAGTATCCTTACTGACCAAGGAAGAGTACTTTCATCTTTCCCAGCTAGCCAATTGTGTCGGGAGGGGAGGGGAGGGGAGGGGAGGTGGGGTGGATAGTTTTCATGTATTTTGACACTGTGGCTTTAATCTACAGCTTGCCCACTGCCTTAGTAAGACTGTTTTGGTAGTCTGTAAGAAAACCATTCTTGGATGGTACCAGCTGAAGCCATGAATTCACACTCCAATAAATTTCCCAGCAGTCAACCTTTGGCTTTAATTAATACAGGTCATCTTATGGGGTGTGTGCTTTTAGACATTTTTTCTACAAAATTTAAAATAGACTACAAGCTCACTTTTTATATAAAAAAAACAAAACAAAAAGGAATTTTGATTTACCTACAAATTCCATATCTAAGTTCTAGGGCATCAACACAAAAGAGTAGATTAAAGTGTAATATTTTTAAGTGCTCAGCTAAATCACAGTCCCAGAACATAGGGTCTTGTTGGTTGTTCATTGCCTTAGCCCAAATAGCTGCAGTTTAATAAATAGAAATTGCAGCAATACCTTTATGAGTGTCTCAGATGTTCTGTCTACAGAATCTTTTGAATGAAGAAATATCTTCAGCGGGTACAAGGAAGATGTTTAAGACTAAGACGGCAGGGTCTACTGCCGAACAGTCCAATTTTGTAAACTCTTCCAGTGAATATAGCTAGACAATGATTCCAGGAGGAGCAAAAGTATTTTCAACACTAACCCAGTAGTCACAAGTTGCCCATTCTATTTGTTCATGAATGGTGAATGTCTTCTTAAATTTGACTAGCGCATAAGGCAGAGGAGAAGAAAATGCAACAAGGCCAAAGCTTTTGTGCACAGCAGAGGTGAGCATATCAACATTGGCAAATATATTGCATGAAGCCGTAACATCAGATGTATAAAAGCTTGGGGATGAGAAATCTTCTACAGCTTCCTTGAATACTGCCTGTTAGGCACTCTTCATTTCCTCAATGTCTGCAACTTCTAGAAGAGGAATTTCAGTGTGAGACAGTGTGGGTGAAGGAGGCCTGGACAATGGATAGCTATATTATAACAGTTGTCTGAAAATTTGTAAAATAGTTGCAGAAAAAACTAAGCCTTAAAGCCGGAGTTCCACTGGAAAAAAATAAAATTAAAAGTCAGCAGCTAGTTTTTGTATCTGCTGACTTTTTTTTAAATACTGTCCCTCGGTCCAGCGGTGTCCTCAACATACAAACGAAACCAGCACTCAAATCTTCATGGTGACTTGGAGTACTGTAGCTTTTATTCATTGAGGTGCAGCCCTTAGAAGATCGGGAAATCTTGATACTGGTGAACAAAAGCAGAACAGGGCACACTCTCTTCATGCATTACTGTCTTGCAGTCTAGCCTTGCTCACATGCGCATCATTGCCTTTTTTGCTGTGACACTTCAATTGGAGGTGAACTGTGATTGGCTCAGCCTTGATTGAGCCGTCATGTGAGGGGGAGGTGAGGGGTGTATCGGTCCTCCTAAACCATTTTGTGCCTTATAAATGCAGGAATAGTAGGCCTACATTTTAGCTCTGAAGAAGGGAGTACGTCTCCCAAAACACGTTAGCCTACCTCACTAAGGATCCACCATCACTTTGGACCATCACCACAGAATCTGTAGCTCTGTTTTTATCTCCCTTTGGTTTGTGTGTATGCATTTTTATGCTTTTAAATAAACGCGTGTTGCACCACGGTAATGCACGAAGAGAGTGCGCCCTGTTTTGCTGGTGTCCTCACCATGGCTGGTTTCAGTGGCAGTCTTCTCTCTCTGGTGTCAGCATCTTCAGTGTGGGCACCCGGCTGTGACAGATTGCAGCTGCGCTTACTGAATGGCCCCATAGCCAAAATGTAATTGAATGGTCTGAAGTAAAAAAAACTACTTGGGTTAAGAGGGATTTTTCCCATAAATAAAAAAAAAAAAAATTCCATCACATTAGGTGACTAGCAAAAACTGAGGCCTCATAGAGTGAGGTAGTGTTATAAAGGTGGAAACCCGAGGGGGGGGGGGGGGGTCCAATCACCTGAAGTTACCAACCTAGAATTCATTCTCTATGAATGTCAAGTCTGGGTCCTGAACTGTACAATTAAGAGAAAGTAAACACCTTAGGATTGTGCAAAGAAAATTCAAAATTAACAAAGCAAACCCCATTCTTGTAACCTTTTCCATAACTGCATGCAGCATTTCCAAAGACTCTGGCTACTGTAATAAAAAATATAAAATTAATAAAAAGATTCAGGTTCACTTTTCAGCCTCATGCACAGACCACCATAAAAATTTCAGAAGTAATTTATTAGAAATCATCCTAGGTTGCATAAATAACTAAAATCTAGAAAATAATAAAAACATTAACTGCTACCACTATGATCAATCATCTTAATAGTCGGCCGTTGGGACTGTCCTGAAGTGCTCCGATAGAGTGAAGAGGCCATATCTGAAAAACAGCAAGCATGGAAATTCTACCTTATATATTTTTAACCCATTTAAACATTCAACTACTATTTCTATGGATTTCACCCCTCCTGCATTAAAAAAAACAAACTAACACAAAAAATTGTTTTTACTTGCCTGCTCTCAAAGAAAAAAAAAAAAGGAGAAAAAAAAAAAACTACATGAAAAAAAATGTATCCCCTTAAATCCTATGGAACTCTTCACACCATTGCACTGCAGGTGTGGTTTAAAAAAACAAAAAAACACTAAAATTGCATCTACCATTGCTTCTATAGACAGTGCATTTGCATTTTTGAGACCTACGGTAGGTTTCACAGGTGCATGATTGGATTGGAGTCAGGAGTCCAAAAAAAAAACACGTAAAAAATGCATATGCATATGTGTTTTTCTTACTGGAGCAGCGTGAAAGCACCCTTAGGGTTGTTTCCAGCTTCCTCCACAGACCAGCACCAGCAGTCCTCTTAGGGCAGAACGTCAGTCATGTCATTCTGCCCATTTCCTGTGAGCCTAGCCTATTTACATTACCTCTATGGGGCTCATCATCATGAAGGCTCACAGTACTCTGGGAGTGGCGCTCACTCACCATTACGTGAGAACAGCTCTGCCCTGGAAGAATGGCCGTCCCTGCCATCGGAAGGAGAACCTGCCACAACACGCCTAGAAGAATGTATAGAGGGTTTTTTTTTTTTTTTTTTTTTTAGCTTTTTATAATTAATTTATTTAAACAGAGGGGTGGGTAAATCCTGGCAATCCTTTTAAAAAATAATCAAAATGTGTACATTATACATTTGCTTGTAAATGAATATCCTCAGACAGGTACCAAGCACTTGTCAAGAGATTCTCCAAGCAAAAATTACAAGTTGTTGCTCGGAACTGCTGCACAAAAGCATGTCCTTCATTTCTTACTTGCCACTTGTAACTTACCCGAAAACAAACTCTTCCTCGTATAAGGGCATAGGGAACTGGTCCATAAATTCTAGAATCTGTGGAATTTTTTAAATTGTCACCTTCTAACCAGACATGGCCTTTTGGAACCTGCAAATTAAGTAAAAAGAAAAAAAAAATTATATATAAATTACCATTATTTAAAGAAATACTACATCAGCACAGTGAGCTAGTAAAACGGTAATCCTTTGTTTTCCTCTCTCAGAAACTATGGACCAAATGAACAATTACATATTTGACGCAGTCTGTCACTAGCATTATCCTAGCAGTTCTTGTTCTGCATCCCCCATAACAATCCTAATACCTGTTGATCCTGCTAGTAGATCTATTATTGTGCCAATTTAAAATGGTGATAACACTGTTCATTCTGCTGTGAACTCACAGCATTGTCACCCTAAGGTGGGCATATACACTGCTCAAACAAAAATTAAAGGAACACTTTGAAAATACATCAGATCTCAATGGGGAAAATCTCATGCTGGATATCTATACTGATATGGACTGGGTAATGTGTTAGGAACGTAAGGATGCCCCATTGTTTGATTCTCGGGGTGTCTTTGAATTCAGTCCTCTGTAGGTTGCTAATTTTAATTTCCATCAAAGTGAAAAAAATAATGCAGCAGGCTAGTCCATTTTGCTATAATTTCATTGCAGCAACTCACAATGGTACTCAGTAGTTTGTATGACCTCACGTGCTTGTATGCATACCTGACAACGTCGGGACATGCTCCTAATGAGACAGCAGATGGTGTTCTGGGGTGTTTCCTCCCAGATCTGGACCAGGGCATCACTGAGCTCCTGGACAGTCTGAGGTGCAACCTGGTGGCATCAGATGGACCAAATAATGATATCCCAGAGAAGTTCTATTGGATTTAGGTCAGGTGAGCTCGGGGGCCATTCAATGCTATCAATTCCTTCATTCTCCAGAGACTGCCTGCATACTCTTACCACATGAAGCCGGGCATTTTTATGCACCAGGAGGAACCCAGGACCCACTGCACCAGCGTAGGGTTGTCCAAGGATTTCATCCAGATATCTAATGGCAGTCAGGGTGCCATTGACTAGCCTGTAGAGGTCCGTGCGTCCCTCCATGGATATGCCTCCCCAGACCATCACTGACCCACCACCAAAACAGTCATGCTGAACGATGTTACAGGCAGCATAAAATGTTCTCCACGGCTTCTCCAGACCCTTTCACGTCTGCCACATGTGCTCAAGGTGAACCTGCTCTCATCTGTGAAAAGCACGGGGCGCCAGTGGCGGACCTACCAATTCTGGTGTTCAATGGAAAATGCCAATTGAGCTCTATGGTGCTGGGCAGTGAACACAGGGCCCACTAGAAGACATCGGGTGCTCAGGTTACCCTCATGAAAATCAGTTTCTGATTGGTCAGAGACATTCACACCAGTGGCCTGCTGGAGGTCATTTTGTAGGGCTCTGGCAGTGCTCATCCTGTTTCTCCTTGCACAAAAGAGCAGTTGGGGCAGCACAGTGGCTAAATGGTTAGTACTTCCGCCTGGCAGTACTAGGGTCGTTGGTTCGAATCCCAACCACGGCACCAGTTTGTTTGTATGTTCTTCCTGTGCCTGCATGGGTTTCCTCGGGTACTCCAGTTTCCTCGCACACTCCAAAGACATGCTGGTAGGTGAATTGGATCCTGTCTAAATTGTCCCTAGTATGTGAATGTAAGAATGTGAGTTAGGGACCTTAGATTGTATGCCCCTTGAGGGTTAGGGACTGATGTGAACAATATATATGTAAAGCGCTGCGTAAATTGACAGCGCTATATAAGTACCTGAAATAAATAAAGATACCAGACCTGCTGATCGGTTAAGGACCTTCTACGGTCCTGTCCAGTTCTCCTAGAATAACTGCCTGTCTCCTGGAATCTCCTCCATGCTTTTGAGACTGTGCTGGGAGACACAGCAAACCTTCTGGCAATGACACGTATTGATGTGCCATCCTGGAGGAGTTGGACTGCCTGTGCAACCCCTGTAGGGTCCAGGTATCGCCTCATGCTACCAGTAGTGGCACTGACCCTAGCCAAATGCAAAACTAGTGAAAAACAATCAGAAAAGAGGAGTAGGGAAAAAAATGTCAGTGGCCTCTGCCTGTAAAACCATTCCTGTTTTGGGGGTCGTCTCATTGTTGCCCATCTAGTGCACCTGTTAAATTTCATTAACACCAAAGCAGCTGAAGCTGATTAACAATTCACTCTGCTACTTAACTGACCACATCAATGTCCCAGGAGTTTAATTGACTTGATGCTATACTCTGATTAAAAAGTGTTCCTTTAATTTTCTGGAGCAGCGTAGTTTTAAATAGGCTTTGAATAAGCAAAATATTAAAATTATTAACTCTTTTTCAGCCAATGTTTTTTAAGCAGTAACAGCAGCAAAAAAAAAAAAAAGAAGGTTTAAACCATAGGAGTAAAAGCCAACTGTTGTAAGCATCACTGTAACTATCACTTTTGTTAGCAGCTTGGTCTGCATACAAATTTGAAAAAAATAAATAGGCGCATGGAATATGCATCATCTATACTGCCCGTAGATAGGTCTTTTACCTTAAAATTGAGCACAGGTTCCCTTTAAAATGGTGTAGGCCCAAAAGATAGTTATCGCAATTCTGGTTTTACTACCTAGAGAGTACGGACCTGGAACAAGCAGGCAGATAATAAAGTCTGAACTTCTATCCTGTATGCTTGTCCATCATCAGCAACTCGCTAGGTGATGAGGCCAGCATCAAAATGACAACCCCAAAGCTTGCATCTTTAAAAACAAGGCAGTAATGGCAACTCCCTTATATCTATTCTCATTAGTTTCTTTAAAGTTGTAAAAACAGAGTGGAAAAAACATATGATAGGAACCCAGAGACTGGGATGGTTAGGTCATTAATTTAATAGACTTCAGAGAGGTCATTAGGATGTTGAGTGGAATAGTGCTCCTGTGTCACAGTAGCAGCATGGAGGGGGCAGACACTCGTCAACATCCTGAGGCCACAGCTAAGGCCAGACCTGTTAGTGGGCTTCTGATTAGCTAAATGGTAATTGACTGTGACACCAATTACACATAATCTCATCATTTTATTGGAGTGGGCTTGTCAAACTTCTAATTAAGATCACAGTTCAGACTATGTGCACACGGGATCCACAACACACTGCCATCATGTCCATCAAGAAGTCTTTGGAAAGGCTTTTTACGTCAGCTAAATTAATGAGTGTGACCTGCAAGCTGGGAAGTCTTTCAGATGTCTACGTAAGGGTTAAATGACACCGCAAGGTCCTGGTGGTCTAATATGATGCCAACCGCACTTAAAGGGAATACATAACCTTCTTTGAAGTATTTTTAAAGGTAGATTTGTGTACCTACTAAGCTTAAGAAGTTACTAATGTGCTTTTTGTCAATTTGTTAGATTGTTAATTTGCATATTTGAGCATATGCTTATAATATAGGTCATAAACCTACCATAAGAAATATGTTTGCTGCATTTTTATTTTCTTTTAAATCCCAATTGCTGGTCTTGCTGATGATTTGGCATCAATATATTCTGAATCGCTAAAGCTGGCGATACAGGTTTAGATGACCCTTGTTGAGCTCTGTAGGCTGAATGAGTGAAACCAAATGGATTCTCCCATCCATGCTAAAACAGCATGGACTGAGGAATCTTCCCTGACGGATATTGTTCTCCAGCAGCCGCAGCTGTTTAAATACCCAAACAGTGAGCGTATCCGATTGGCGCCAAGTCACTGTTTGCCTGAAAATTTTCCAATCAACTTTTGTGGAGCAAGGTGGTGCTAATAGGGGCACTCACTATAAGAATTTTGGCCAACTTGGCATAAATTGGCTGAAAGTTGAACTACTAATGGCCAGCTTAACCCAAGATGGGTATGCACCCAAGAAGTTAGAGGTGGTCAGATGTGCGCATTTATGGAAGTGCCCTGTCTCAGCGATTCAGAATATTAAAGCATAAGAGAACAGAATAATGAGGCAACCAGCATATTCAGCAATGGCAGACTCCACGTTTCTTTTATGAACAGATCTATGAATGGAGGATGGGCAGATGATTGAAAGACCAGCTCCCTCCAATCATAGATCACATTTCATTCATTCATAAAAGCGGTATTACCAGCGTCTATGAATGGAGGAGCTGGGGAAAAAGGACTGTCTACTTTCCAAACAGCGATCACTTGGGGGGTAATTGTACTGTCCTGGCATTTTCAGGCATCAAGAAATGAGATAGGCTGTCAGTACATCCAGTTGCGTCCAGAGGCAGGTGCAGGAGGTGCGCGCCGCAGCGGGGGACGCCAACCGCACGGGGTGACACCAGACCCACGCCACGAAAAGACAAGTTGTAAAGCAAGCTGACAATCCCCGCAGGATGGATCCGATCCGACCTGAGGGGATCGTCAGCTTTCTTTACAACTTACCTTTTCTTTGAGCGGGTCCGGTGTCACCCCATATAGGTTGTATGCTGACGATCCCTGCAGGATGGATCTGATCTGTGGATTGGGTAGCATAATGGATCGGACTCTGATCCATTATGCTCAATCCACAGATCTGAACCATACTGCGGAGATCGTCGGCATGCAACCTATATGGGGTGACACCGGACCCGCTCCACGAAAAGGTAAGTTGTAAAGAAAGCCGACTATCCTCGCAGGATGGTTCGGACCTGCGGATTGAGCATCGGACAGATTCAATCCATTCTGCGGGGATTGTCGGAGGGGGTGTCACCAAGTGTTACCACACCTGGTGACACCAACCCTAGGGATGCCCTTGAGTACATCAGGATTGACCAATTTTCAGATATACTTTATATACCATAATTTGCAAACTAACTTTCACACAGGCTAAATATAGATATATATATATATATATATATATAAGGCTAAATAGAAATAGAAATCGATTTGGGTTACTTTTACCAAAGCAATGTAGCAGAATACATTTTGGCCTAAACAGACAGACATACAGTTTTTAGATATATTACAAATATATATTTCTTTTTAACAGAAACAGCGAAAAATGCGGTTTTTCAAAACTTTGTCTTTTTATAATTTATTTAGCAAAAAAAAAAAAAAAACCCAGTGG